CTCAGGTCAGATTGGAGAGGATAAGCTCGGTCAAAAGTCATAGTGCATATTCCAGGACATGCGACAGCCGGTCAAATGATTCAAACTTGGACATTTCATTTCAGTGCTTTACCACTTTATTGGGGACTGGGACTGAGCAACTACTTTAAAATGAATATTATTTAAAGGTATTATAAATCTCTTAGCTCTACTTAATATAATTTTAATTATTCTCATTTGCCTATACTTCTTTTTATATCTCTCCTACCAGTCATCACTTTTGAATCTTGTGAATAACTCCGACCCTAAACGCTGGTCGGCATATCAGCGGTATGGCATGCCTGGTTGCGAAGCTCACAATTCATCTAGACCTAATTTCTCTCTCTGCAGACTGGCTCACCGAGGCTCGTGCCGCTGTGGGCAAGCATGTCTTGTTAGTAGACTTATGTTCTCCCAGCTGGACGCCTGCTTGGCAGCATGTAATTGCAGTCCTTTTCTGGCTACTTCCGATAAAATAGACGTTACTAACACTAGCCTTAACGATTCTATCAGCCTAGGCACCGAAGATGAAGAGAATGCTGGTGGTGCCGGTGGGGCTGCTGCTACCAGTAGCGGCAGTAGTCTTCCTTTTGTTGTCGGAGTTATCATTGCCTTCCTCGTCATCCTGGTTGGCGTGGCTGTGTTTGTAAACAAGGGGGCTTGCAAGCGTCACAGCACTGGATTGACTGTTACAGTCTCTTCTTTTTTGGCAGTCGATAGCGGTGGACTCATGCCTGGAGCCGACTCATCTGGAAGTGACGGAACTCCTGCAAACTGCTCTGTACGCAGAAACACGGACAGGAGGCTTTTAGTCGCAGAAGAATGTGCAGGAGGTGAGGTGCCTGCTAAGTTGTTGCCCAATGGAACTGGCGGTACCGCAGGGCCATACCTTTATACTTCTGTAAATGGTTTGTACTCTGCTACCTCTTCCGCTGTAACATCATCTTCATGGTTTGGAGTGCTTGGCTCTAATTGCCTTGCGGGTCATAGAAAATGTTTGTCCACTTCTGGCCAAGGTATTACTGGTGATGTGGAATCCAGGACAGTTCCTGTTGGTGGCGGAAGTGCAAGCAGTTTGGTATTGCTGGACGGCTTTGTGGAGGAGCCCAGTGTCAGCTACAACATTCCACAGAAGGCTCGTTCTGCTTTCCGTCTTTACTCAGCTCCTGAAGTTGTCACTTTTGGTATGAATACACAAGCAGGCTTGTTTCAACCAGGAGACGTTTTGTTACCACATGAGGTAGAAGAAGATGATGGAAATGAAAATGACAACGCAGGTGATGGGGATGAGGCTGCGTTAGTCGTATTGGTTCATGAAACTGCAGAATCAGAGATTGAGGGCGAAGATTTGGCTGTTGATGATGAAGTAGAGGGAGAACACTGCCAAGTGATGTTAACCAATGCCAGAGATATCTTACATGATCCTGCTGGGACAGGACACGAGCTTCCCATTACGGCTCTTTTTAATGAAAAGGAATTGGTACTCTCAGCTACAAAGGGGGGTGGGAAAAAAAATGTTAAGAGGAAAGGGAAAGATCATGAAACTGTCCCTGATGTTAAAAAAACGAGAAAAAAGAAAAAAGTGAACAAAGAGAATAAAGGCAAAGTTGTGACAGAAGAGAAAGATAAAAAAAATAGAAAAAAGAAGCCAGCCAAAGTAGATGTAATAAGTGAGATCGGCAGGTCTGATCAAAGCAACCACAACCCACCGAGAGATAACGACTCAAGCATATTATCTTCGAACAAGATTGCAAGTGGAGTTCCAGGAAGGTAGGCAAACTCATATATATCTATATACATCATGTCAGCACTTAAATTCCGTTAGTTACTTGCTAATTTCATATTATTTCGACTCAGGCATCAAGCTAATTCATCGTTTGTTTCCTGAATTGCTTCTTTTCAATCTTTAAGTTTTTTTATATATTGTCTAGTGGCCCAGGTAAAAATCCAATCATGGGTTAGTTAGTTTTTCCCTTAAAATAGTCATTTGAGTTTAAATTTATTTGGTATTAAACCATTTGAACTTACACTGTTATATATCCAAGGTGAAATATAAGTTTTCCCGAATATTCTGCGTATAAATAATACATAAGGTATGGCTGAGGTGATTATCATTTTTAACCTATTAGGTATTCGTTAAACCGAAATTTTACTAGAAACTTAACTAACTTACTTTACATCTAAAAGAACATCTTAAATTCGTTCTTATTTATTAGAATTGTTCATATTCGTTCAAACGGCTGTCCAAAAGTCTCTCGTACTCCAGAGAGATCGCCTTTGATCCAACCCGACCGATTTATAACAGACTCATCGCGTTTGTATGATCTTGCCTTAGCAAAGCCACTGGACCAGGTGACTGAAGATTCAAAATATGAACGTTCGTCTCCACCCGCCGCCGGTCGGATTTGCGCAGGCTTTGCCAGGCAGAAGTTACAATTCGACCCGGTATTTCAACGGCCAGGCAAGGGTAGACAACAAGAAGTACAAGTAATTGCAACTGGCCTGTTTGACAGACCTGACAATCAACGGTTGCGGCGACAGTTGCTGCCGCAGCAGCTCTCTTACGGTCATTATCGCCTGCTGGTTCGACCTCAGGGGGTCACTGAACTTCAAGAATTCACTATCCCTGCGACACCCCCTACCCTGATGTCAAGTTCACCTGCCTTTGATTATTCAGGTATTTTACAAATAATCGGAAACCCATTTTTTTCTAATGCATTCGTCAAATACAGAGCATTTTTTATTTGTGGAAGCCTTATATATAAGCTGAAGGAACTTCGTTGCCTACTCTCTTTTGGCTTGCCTTTTGTATTTGGTCCCTCTAGCATTGCTGTTTCAGCACTATTTAAGATGAGATTTGGAGCTTATATGCATGCTTGTCTAGATGCATCCAGGAGGTATCCTTATATAGTCTTATTTTATTTTGTTAAATGTATGATTATTATATTTCTTATGTTATTTTCGAATTGCATGGCTCTACTTCATCATCCATTTTCTATAATGCCCAATTAGATATGAAAAACGAACTGCTACTCATTTGGTAACGCATCCAAATGTGTTTATCTTGCAGCCCCTGAATTAACTGCCCAAATATCCCTACTTTTAATTCACTTTCTTGGGATCAGAAATATTTCTTACAGGGCCCAGGCACGCCTTGCTATTTTTTTACGTTACTTGCTTTTATTTAATTATCTTGACAAGGCTATTCGCATACTTACAAAGCACTTTTAAGCACTACAGCAAATGAATACGCTGTTGCGTGGCGTATTCTTCCTGGAACATATTGGTTGACTTTTCCTTTAGACAATCCCCCTATATTCATATGG